TGTGTTAACTGATATTATTTAAAGAAGTGGAGCACCCCCCCAAACACACCCCCCGCCCGCAGGTAGGGAGGGGAGAGGGAATGGGGGGGCTTTGGGAGGTCCACTCATCTTAAAGTGGCCAAGTTTGGACAACACTGCCTTAGAGCATGCAGAACTTCATCTGATACAGTCCTTCTTAGACTGCACTGCTTCAGACTACCCTTGGGCAGCACAGAAAAGAATAATTGTAAGGTGTAAGGCATGAGTGTTGAGAAGGTTTCCCATTATCTCTAAAGCCAATCTGGGCACCATTTTCAGAAACATACCCTGCTTTGGCGAGGGAGGGGTAGAGTCATAAGAACACATAGAGAACCTTGCTGGGTAATGCCAACAGGCCATCTTGTATCTCCCAGTGCCAAACCAGCAGCATCTAAAAAGCTGACAAGCATCAACCAGAGTGCTCTAGCCTTCTTCTGCTCTTGCTCCTACCAACTGGTATTTCCATCTCAATACAGTCAATCCATATAAAAGCATATGTTGAGTTTAATGTATCTAAAGAATACCATTTTCTTCTTGGGTGCATTCTTCATGCACTGAATTTGAAAACATGAAACAATTTCTGGAAATGCTACAGGACTTTTTAAAAGGTTGTTATATATATTTGATACTTTAAAAAAAAAAATTATTTATTTCTTAAGCCCTGAGGTGATAACACTTAGTTGAGTTTGGGTGATCTAAAAAAACTAAGCAGGTTTAGACTTAATTAGTACTTGGATAAGAGACTACCAGGAAATCCTAGGGCTGTAGGCTACACTGGGAAGTCAGAAAAATTATCCTTCAAGAAGACAATGGCATTTTTGCATCGCTGGGAAGAAAACTACATGAAAAACACCAGGAGCTGAGTTAGACTCGAAGGAGACTTTATCTTCCTGAATATGTGATGTTTATTATTATTTTGGAGGAATATTTATTTAGTGTTGGAACACAGAAAGACAGGTATATATCCAATAATAATTGAAATTATTTAAAAATTATTGCTTTTATGGATCTTTGTGCATGAGAGAGGAAGATCAGTATTTCTTGTTGGAGGCGGGATGACTCAGCAAACTACAAAGCAAGACTCTTTATTGCCTCTTCTATTCTCTCTAAGGGGCTGCTGTAAACCTCACTCTCGTCACTCCTGAAAAGGCGATCAAGTTGGCAGCCAATGATTTCTTCCGACAGTTGCTCTCCGAGGATGGGTATGGGGAAAACAGCATTTGTTCTTTGCTTATAATCTTGCTACAACCTGAGCATTGTTTTCATCTGCACTTTTGAACTGGTCCTATGCATTTGTGCTACTCTCAACAGAAAAGAATTGTCATTGGTCAGGGAAATGCTGGCTGGCTGTGGAGCTGGGACATGCCAGGTGGTGGTCACATCCCCAATGGAAATGTTGAAAATTCAGCTACAAGATGCTGGACGGCTAGGTGAGCACCCTCATTTCTATAAACCAGAAAGGTAAAAAAAAAGTTATTTTGCTTCATTTTTGTAGTAAAATGTCTTATTATGTAAATAAATTTTCATATTTACTAGGACAGTTCCTCTTATGTTCTTATCTGTCAGCCACAAAATACCAACAATTACGTGAGCCAACCAGGTCACTCTTCCAGCTGGCTGATAGGAGAATGGAAAGAATAGCAATCAGTCAATGCCTTGCTCCCATTTCATGTTTCTAATGTATGTTGCTTACATTTGCCTGCTGATTTCCAAGGGGGGGAAAAGTGGTTGCTATGGAGGGAGATGTAAAGCTTGCATTTATCCATCTATTATTTTCAAGACCAGGGAAATTATAACATTTCATCATGATGCCACTGGCTGAACCTCTGTGGGTGGTGGGGTAAAGTCGGACCTGAACCCCAAAGCTGGGAGGTAGAGTGAAGCACTTTCCTACCAGTGGTAAAATGGCTCATCCACTAAGCTGTGTAGAGCTTCATCACTACAAATGGAAACACTGCCTTCTGCCATTTTTGATGCACAACAGGTGCCTCAGAACTATCAGTTCATGCAATTGTACAGGTACAGAGTTACTTCTGGAGAGATCAAAGAGCTGTATGGATATACCAGATGCCAATGATGAAGGCTTATCTCACTATGGATGGTGGGACTTATCGTCAAACACATCTAGAGGGCAGCAGTTTGGGAAAGTGCATTTTTCCAGTGCATTTCCTTCTGCTGGGTTATTAGAAGTTAAATCTCTGAGGAAGGGGCTGCTTGTTTTTAGTGCACGCACATATAAATGCATACATGTGATGAAAACTAAGACTCTACATCAACCTTTCCCATCTTGGCTAGGGATTCTGGGAACTGAAGTCCAACACATCTGGAGGGCACCAGGTTGAGACAGACTGTTTTATATGGAGCACAGCTTTCCATTTCACATCTGCAGGTGAAGTCTACACTGATCCTAAATAATATAATGTCAGACATGGTGTTTGTTTTTAGCTACTAATGAGAGAAAAACATCTGTCTTTACATTTTCAGTAGTAGACAGACAACCAAGGAACAAATTAATATAGTTTGAGACAGATAGACCAGAGGATTAAGCAATGCATAATGAAGCTCAGCTACTGACTCTTGGTATTCAAACAGGAATATACAGCTGCCTGAAGTAATGGTAGCAGCTGTCTGAACTTACTTGGCTTTGGGAACTAAGTAGGGTCAAGCTGCTTAGTATGTGAATGAAAAACCACTAGGAAATCCCATAACTGTAGATTAGACTGGGAGATTAAAAAAAAATGAGAGACCACTTCTCTATTATTGCTGGGAAAATGCATGGACCTCATCAAGAGTTGTGTTTAGCTATCAGAGACTTTATATTACAAAGAGGTCTTTATTTTTACCCATTAATCTTGAAGGTCTGCTTGTGTAAGACCCACAACTTCTAAAAATCCAGCCTTCAGGGCTCAAGATTTTATATATATATATAAATAATTTGTATAATTTTTGGTGAGAATTTTTATCAAAACGTTTGCAAACTTGGTGCAGAAACAGTATGAAACCATCTTCTGTTCAAAAAAATTCAGAAGTTGTAGAAAGTGAAAGTGACTTGCCTATCACGAGAACAAAAACATTATTTCTATCTTTCAGCTGCTCATCAGCAGAAGGCCTTGGGGCTGGAGGGAACAGCTGCTGCTACTTCTCACCCACCAAAAGGACAGCCTTACACCACTGGGTCTATGGCAGCCCCTAAACGCCCTTCTGCCACTAGGATTGCAAGTGAACTGCTGCGCACCCAAGGGATAGCAGGCCTGTATAAAGGGCTAGGGGCCACCCTACTCAGGTGAAAAGAGTGTGGAATCTCCTTTTCTATAAGTTCTATAGTAGCAACATTTAATAGTCTAAGAAGAGAACTGAATTGGATTCAGCACTTTTTATACATTGTCTTTTACACTCATAAAAACTCGATTGACTTCAGAATTGGAGTCAGTGTCCCTACAACTGGCTATTGGATAACTGCTTTGGATGGTGGGAATTAATAGGATTTAAATTCATGCATGAAACTGGATCAGCTACAGCACTTTGGCTCTGTAGAGTTTCATCCTGGGCTTTGGATCTTTTTTCATAACTGAATATTTGGATAGTTTATTATGCTCCCTTCTTTCTGTAAATAGGCCTAAATGCCTTAATTGAAATTCTCAGTAGTCTCTAAGTCCTCCAAACATTGCCCATTACTACAGTACTTTATGGTGATCTTTATGTATTTCAAAAATATTGCTAAAATCTAATGGCATCAAGTCTGATTGTCAGGTTCATCTATAAAATGTATCTGCACATGAGAAGATTTTATACTTTGTCTCCCCTATGTTATTTTTGTTATTCCCAATGTGATATTTTCAAAGTTTGTAATAATACAGGCGTAACCAAATTGCAAAGGAAAAGATGAAGAGGGCATCTTTGATATGTATTGTGACATAAATTCTACCAGATGACACTCCATTAGTAATCATATATGACCTAGGGATTGAATAAAATACGTCAGTACAAAATATAACTTTTTGAGGAAATCCAAAACAAGCAAAAAATCTATTTCAGTAATTTGTAAGAAAACATATCAAAAGCTTTCTCAGCATCCCCCCCAAAAATAAAGATTGCCAGATTCTGTATACATTCAAGTAAAGCAAATACAAAAATTGGGCATTTTATATTATCAGAACTGTGAGGGTCTTTTATAAGTCCATCTCGAGATGGATGTGTAATAGTTGTAAAAACAAGCTGTAATTTAAGAGCCAAAGGAGCTGTTAAAATCTTGGCATCCATATTTATCAATGGAATAAGTCTGCAACGGGAGCATCATAAAATCTTTACCTGTCTGAGGAAGAACAGTAACTTGCCTCACTGAAATGAGGGGAAGGACTTCATTTGAAAAAACTTCATCATATGCTTCCAAGAAAGTAGGAGATAAGAACCTAATAAAGTTGTTATACCAATGACTTGGAAATTACATTGCATAGATTTAACGTTAGTCATAATTTCTTGAAGAGAAGTTATAATGAAGTAAAATTTTTTTAATGAAGTAAAAAAAAATTTCTTTGTTTTTCTTTGTTTTTCTTCTTTTTTTTCTTCTTTTTTTTCTTCTTTTTTATTATTGTGAGCCGCCCAGAGTCACCCGTTGGGGGAGATGGGCGGCATACAAGTCTGAAAAAAATAAATAAAAAAATAGCCATCTGCTCCAGTGAGAACTATGGAAATCCCTCCAGGGCTTACCTGAAATGTTCTACTTCTACTCTCAATAGGGATGTGCCTTTTTCCATAATTTATTTTCCACTCTTTGCCAACATTAACAAGTTGGGACAGAAAACCTCTGAAGAAAAAGCATCTTTCTTGCATTCATTTGTGTCTGGCTGCATGGCAGGATCTGTGGCCGCAGTTGCAGTCACTCCATTGGATGGTGAGTATTAGATGATGCTCCTGTAAAAAAAAAAAAAAAGTCTATTTCCATCCTATCACAAAACACTGCAATAATTCATGGGCTTCAAATGAGTATTTCTACTGTGGGAAAGCCCAGGTGGTGCACATTATTTTCAGGATTGTTAATAAAATGGGTTGGAAAGTCTGAGGGATGGGTGCTCCCCACCTCCAGGAAAGGGGAGAGAGGAGGAAGAGGTTATAAACTCTTCTGTAGAGCCATTGAGGAACAGAATTTGTTAGTTGGAGCTGGGGCCTATTTTTATTTTTTATATTATTCTTAAGATATTCTGGGTTTTTTTTTTAATAGCTGTTTGATTTAGCAATATAGAAGCACAAATAAAAAATTAACAAAGCAATCAAGCTATGGGAAGGAAAGTTACTTATCCCAAACTCCCCCCTCCCCCCAGTTTTTTCTCCATGTAATGATGTCTCCTGTCTTCTTACTGAGCAGATGAAAACATGCTGTCTTGTTTCCTGCTTTTGCACAGAGAAAACTACTCCATAGAGGAGAAGGCCAGGGAGCAGTTGCCTTTATGAAGTTGTTTTCTCCAGAGAGGAGACAGGAAGCAAAACTATCTTCTCCTGGAGAAAGCAAATCCATATTAGAAGGCTTGGAGAGCAGTTTTGGTCCTCTTGAACATCTTTGGATGAAGACAAATGGAAAGCTTATTTTAATACCCAAGCCCAGGATCCTGTTCCATTCTGCAAGTCAGGATGATAAATCAGGTTTTGATTTTACTTTATTAATCCTGGCTTCAGGGGAAAAGGTTTTGGTTACAGTAAATTTGCAGTTAGGGTTAGTACAGTAATGTAAGCTAATAGGAGGAATCAAGAAGAGGTGAACAGATTTCATTCATGGATATGCAATATATTTGTGGTAAAGCAACCTTTTACTTGGATAAAAAAATAACACAGCTAATACAGTGGTACTTCTACTTACGAACTTAATCCATTTCGTGACTCTGATCGCAAGTCGAGTTGGTCGCAGGTCGAAGTAAATTTTCCCATAAGGTTCAATGTAATTACCATTAATCCGTTCTGGCGTCCGCGGACCACGTGTCAGGGGCGGAAAAATGGCCGCGGACCATGCGGCAGGGCAGAAAAATGGCCGCGGACCACGTGGCACGGGCGGAAAAATGGCCGCGGACCACGTGGAACAGGCGGAAAATGGCCGCGGATCCGGTTCGTAAGTTGAGGTGAGTTCGTAAGTAGAGGTAAATTTTTGGGGCTGGAGCTGATCGTATCTCGAAAAATTCGTAAGTAGGGGCATTCGTAAGTAGAGGTACCACTGTATATCTAAAACTGAAACAGTTTGGGGAAGAAAGAACCACATGCTTACTAGTAAATTTCTGATCAGAAATTAGTATTTTGGGAGGTTTATTTAATTGCACAGTTTCTTGTCCGGAAATAAATAAGTGAATAAATAATAAAATCTGAGTCTTGAAGTTATTCCTCTGCATGTGTAAATCTTTAAACCAAATTTCTTTGCATAGATTTAACAAACTGTATCTTGTTACAGTTCTAAAAACTCGCATCCAAACTCTGAAGAAAGGACTGGGAGAAGATACCTACAATGGAATAACTGACTGTGCCAGGTAAACAGAAATAAATATGATTCATTTTCCATGAACCAACAGTTAAGCATTAAACGCTTGATCTCTGAAAAATGTTCCCCGCACACTAAGGCTTAGAAACTTCTACTAGCCTGGACAGGTGAATACATTGGGAATTCAGAAAGTAAGCTGTGGATGTTCTTTTGGGGAGGAACAGCTTGCTCATTCACAAAATGGTTGCTATAACAGGTGTGAGCAATCACACAATACCATTTGACCAAAGCAAACTGATGAAGATGGGTTTTTTTCTAACCCCACGACAGCCACAGAATGTTCTCTTGCACTTTAGTCTACCTTTACTTTGGGATGGGGGTGGGAGTGGAGGTGGAGGGCGTGTTTCCAAAGGAAGTGCTGTGTTGCACTTACACACTAACGTCATTCTCTAAACAGCAGATGTTTCACCTTCCATGCCGAAAGCCCTAGCTGCTACTTACATGGGTTGCCTGCAGAAGCAAGACTGTGACAGAAGTCCAAGAACATCAGTCTCTGCCTTTCCACAATAATGCTGGGGCCCATGCTGTGCACTGCAAGCCCTCTTGTACACTGAATGGGGCCATGCAGTCTTTGACAGTGATTGGTGCTTTAGAATGCACAGGAGCAGAAGCACCAAGACCCTTTTAATGTGGGTACTGTGCTTTTCAGACTTCTGTAGGAGCCTTAAAAAAGACAGGGCTGATTTAATAAGCTAATTTGTTTTAAAAGATGCATCTTTTTTTCAGGTTCACTTGGAAATCTGAAAAAGTGGTACAATTGCTTTAAAGGGAGGTGTTGCACTTGGACTGCTGTAGGTTCCAGAATACCTCTTCTAAATAATTTTTGAAGTATGGAAAGCTCTAGTGTTTGATGCACTTCTGTTACTGATAGCAACAGGTGCTACTCAGGATATGTTTACTTAAATTATTTCACTGTGTGTATCATCTGCAGGAAGATCTGGATTCATGAGGGTCCTTCTGCCTTCATGAAAGGAGCAGGATGTCGTGCATTGGTGATAGCTCCTCTCTTTGGCATTGCCCAAGGAGTCTACTTCATTGGCATTGGAGAATGGATCATGAGCTTTTTCAAATAATACCATCTTGCATTTGAAGAAGACTCTGGATTAAGTTTTCACAAATTCCAAAGAATCACTGGAAGACCAATAGAACCATCTGGTTGTGAGCATTTTTGTGGGTGATAAAGAACCATCCAGGAAGATGGGTTACAAGAAATACCAATCCCGGGGTTCACCATTGCTTCTTTTTCTAATCAGATGACTTTTGACAAGCTAGAATATAGATGTTGTGCTTCTAAACAGATATATTCTAGGTAAATCTTCATTAGATTAACTAGATCTGATAGAGCCTTCTTTGACTGAAAGCATATTTGAAAGCTACGGTATCTGTAAAAATGACTAAAATAATAACAAATACAATAACATGTAGCACAGAGTGGAAGAAGAGGTAATCTGCTTTTGGGGAAGTCAACCTGCACCCCTGAATCTCCTCTGACTATAGTCACTAAAAATGAGTGGCATGTTGTTCTGTCATTTTGAGTTTGGAAACCCTAAAAAAATTAACATAAACCATGAAATATGCTTAGTGTTGCTTTAAAAAAAGGAGAGAAAATCCCCAAACTCCTTCCAAAATGCAAGGGAAAAGCTTTTAAAAACCTCCTCCATCAATGCAGCTCTAGGATACCCAAAATGTTAAACGTAGCTCCTGACCGTCCAGATTGCCCACTCTTGATCTACATGGGAAGTATACACTCTGTGGGCCTTTTCTCTGGTTTGGATTCTATTCACTAATCTCCTACTTTCCTTTATAGTATTTTTCTTAGGTTTCCCCAAGGATGCATGTAGGCCATCATTTCATCCCTTGCTGTCCTAATCAACACCTGGCCAATTATGGATGACCTCCCCCCCCCAAAAAAAAGGGGGAGCTGTAGGTTAGACTGGGAAGTTAGAAAAACATCCGGTAAGAAAGCAATGGCAAACCATTTCAATATTGTTGCTGAGAAAAACTACATGTTTATATTCATGTGGTTGTCAGGAACCAGACTTGACTTGAAGGAGTCTATATTTTTATGCTTTGTATGACTGCATGCATGGACTTTGTGCCTCTTGATTTTATTTGTGCCTGGTCTAAATTGTATAGTCAGATGTTTTAGTTGCACAGATTGCCATTCACCAACACTGGACACGCCAAATTCTTCCTGCAGCATGGCTGATGTTTTAAAAGACATTAAAAATAAGCTGATCTAGGGTATTAATGCCATTTTTTTTGCCTGTGGATTTCTTTAAAACATGTTTTACCTCACGTTTTCAAACTGGAGTTATCCAGAATCAGGATCAAAGTTAAGCTTCCTTCCCAAGCAGCCTTTAATTCAGAAAAGACAACTAATTGGGGGACAAAGTCAGGCTCTGTGAAGAAGGATTGGATAGTAAAGGAAACTAACATTCACTTTATAGTTGTACACATAAGGGAGTTTGGAAAGAATCATTTAAATTCCATGAAGAGAGATAAAGGTCAAAATATAAGCCCAATGATAGGGCTGAATATCTGGAAAATTAAAAACTGCTTCTCCATCAGACAGACATAATTTAGATAAAGAAAACCTGGGGTTCTCTCCATCCCACTAAAATCTCTGTCAATATACAGTACTGTGCAAAAGTTTTAGGCAGGTGTGAAAAAATGCTGTAAAATAATGCTTTCAAAAATATATATTGTAATTGTTTATGTTTATCAATTTACAAAATGCAAAGGGAGCGAACAGAAGAGAAATTTAAATCAAATCAATATTTGGTGTGACTACCTTTTGGCTTCATCCAGCATCAATTCTTACACTTGCACACTTTGTACACTTGCACAAAGATGCTTTCAAAAATATATATTGTAATTGTTTATGTTTATCAATTTACAAAATGCAAAGGGAGCGAACAGAAGAGAAATTTAAATCAAATCAATATTTGGTGTGACTACCTTTTGGCTTCATCCAGCATCAATTCTTACACTTGCACACTTTGTACACTTGCACAAAGTCAGGGATCTTGTAGGATTAGAGTCAGGTATATGATTAACTAATTACACCAGGCAGGTGCTAATGATCAATTTCATATGTAGGTTGAAACACAGTCATTAACTGAAACAGCTGGGTAGGAGGCTTAAAACTGGGTGAGGAACAGTCAAACTCTGCTACTAAGGTGAGGTTGTGGAAGACAGTTTCATGTCACAGGTCATACACCATGGCAAGACTGAGCACAGCAACAAGACAGAAGGTAGGTAGTTATACTGCATCAGCAGGGTCTCTTCCAGGCAAACATTTCAAAGCAGACTTGGGTTTCAAGATTCGGGTTTTGCTGTTCAAGCTCTTTTGAAGAAACACAAAGGAATGGGCAACGTTGAGGACCGTAGACACAGTGGTCGGCCAAGGAAACAATGCAGCAGATGAAAGACACATCATGCTTATTTCCCTATGACATCGGAAGATGTCCAGCAGTGCCATCAGCACAGAACTGGTGGAAACTGGTGGGACTCAGGTGCACCCATCTACTGTCTGGAAAAGTCTGGCCAGAAGTGGTCCTCATGGAAGAATTGTGGCCAAAAAGCCCTACCTCCGACGTGGAAACAAGGCTAAGCGACTCAACTATGCATGAAAACATAGGAACTGGGGTGCAGAAGAATGGCAGCAGGTGTTCTGGACTAATGAGTCAAAATTTGAAATATTTGGCTGTAGCAGGAGGCAGTTTATTCATCGAGGAGCTGGAGAGCAGTACAATAATGAGTGTCTGCAGGCAACAGTGAAGCATGGTGGAGGTTC